GTAAGGCACCACACGCCTCTTGTTGCTGAAATTTATATGGCTGCCCCTTTGGGAATATCTCTTACTGAAGAGTTAACAGCTCACAATAGATACTAGAGAAACATCTATTGGGAGCATGAAGAGAGGGTATTTCCTTTCAGCAAACAGCACACATACAATCTTATTCTATGTATACTGAGTTCAAAGAGATCTTCTGCTACATAATTATGCATAAGATTCTAGCCTTAACATGAGAAGGAAAGGCATTTTTGTTAAGGCAGTTTTGAGAATCATCAGGCGCTTCAATAAAGTACACAGCATGTCTGTGACATTCTGAATCAGAAACCTGTAAATCTGTAAAACCACTGATAGAGACATATAACACATTTCCAATTATGATAGCTATTTCATACAGCATTTCTGACAATTATAACTGTTTCAGGCACTGGTTTTTAAGCTCTGTCATGTGGGTTCCTGTGGTATTTCAAAAGCAGGAGTCAGAAGGTGGAGAGACATATGGGATTCCTGCAATTGTGGCTTAATAAATAATACTAAAACTGTGGGAGGGGAATGGGAGCGGGACATATGCATTTTTATAAAATTTGATACTTGGTTGTTATGATGGCTTCAGCTTTGTTCTGCAATACTCAAAAGCAGTTTAGTATTTATGTTTCAATTCTATTTTAGCATGGAGGTTTAGGGCAACTTATATTTGAGGTCTAAAATAAACCAATACAATAACCCTGTATGGTTTTCACTCATACAGAATGCTTCCCTATTTTTCATACTTTGAGATATCCTTGATGCTCTCTGAGTTTGGTAGTTTTCTTGCAGACATTTCATAACCCAAACTGGTTAACACCATCAGTACTGGTAATGTTATCTCATTTGGGTATTGAAATATCTGCAGGAAAACAAAAAGCACCCAGAACCCCTCATTTCAACCCTGAGCTACAAATATTCTCCTTTATTGTTTTTCATTCTTTGCCATTCACAATATTAACCACAATTTGAAATTCCCATTGAAGGAATTGGGATGTCAGAGCCTGGATTAAGACATGCAGTTGCAATTTTGCCCATCCTTTCTCAATAAATTTAATAATACAGTGATATATACTGTATATAAGAACATAACAATACCATTTGATCTAACCCTTTGAATATGGAAGCAAATGCTTAGATGGAACATAAGAGCAGATGTCCCAAAGGTGCTTTTTCAGGAGGCAACTGGACTTTCTTGTTTTTTCTTTTGAAGACATTTTGCTGCTCATCCAAGAAGCTTCTTCGGCTCTGACAAGATGGTGGAGAATGGAAGGATTTACATTCCTTGCAGACAGCTGGTAATTCACCATCTTTTAGAGGGTCTTTGAAGCACTTGGAGGTTTATCTATGTCCCCAGGGTCACCTGAGTTCCTGTGGTCTACAATTTTTCTCAGGGAATCCATTCCTATTCCCACACCATTCAAAGGATATTCATCCCAAATTGTATAGCTAAAAGTCTGTAGAGTTGCCTCCTGAAAAAGCACCTTTGGGACAACCATGACCTGGATGACTGAGAATTTCTACAGACATAAGAGCAGATGCTGTTCTAAGAACAGTGAGCTGCACTCTACTAACCTTAGTAGACATGCATAGAAAAACAGTGTCTTTTGTTCATCTATGAATAATACTATTTATGTATCCATGAATAACAGAGAATTTCTCATGTTATTACAGAACTCAGAATTATAGGTTATAATATAGGAATTGTTATTCCTATGTCACAGATAGGAAGCTGTGGTAAGAAAAAAATGAATTGCCTAAAGCTATCTAGCAAGTCTGTTACTCATCCTGTTAATATGCTGTTTGTAATTCAGTCTCTGACTGAACTACCGGTAGTATATTAGGTCAGTTCAAAAAAGCTTTCCACTTAACTCAGTCGCATTGGCTGCTAAATACAGTTAAGTTTTTAGAACAGAATTTCATTAAAGTTCTTACAGATGGTGTGTGGAGGTCTTATACTTATTTAATCATAAGGTTGCCAAGGAGTGTGTGGGAAAATCTTTCACTCTATAATAACCTAGTATTCTGCAGCTTTCCTGGTTTCCCAGGCTTGTTGAAATCCAAAGGGAAGTCAAACCCTTTGAGAGAATTCCCATTGGGGCTACTTAGACTGGGAACTGTAGGCAGGAGCGTTATAGAAAAATGTGCATCCAAAAAACATTACCAACAGCTGCAGACTCTGCATCTCCAAACATCAAGCCAGTTCAAAATTTTAATTCAGAGAATTTTTAAATGCACTATCAAACAATTTCCCCAAAAGGAAGAAAATTGAAGCCCCGTTTGGGGAAAGGACATTTTCAAACATTGCTAGGCAGATCCAGCAAAATGCAAGTACTGTCATCCTTGTTTAGCAACCTCAGATGGGATCAGCAATGCAGTTGTTAAGCAAATCAGTTGCTAAGTGAAACATCATGATGTTATGACCTTACTTCAGTTTTACTTTGCAGAGCAGTGAAAGTCATAAATGGAAGGACGGTCACAAAATTACTTTTTCATTACTATCTAACTTCAAGCAACTGGTAAATGAGACAGCCATTAAATGAGTACTATAGGTACTGGGGCATAACCTTTGTTTTAAATTGAGGCTTAATTCCTCTTGAAGTTTTCTTGGAAATGTTTTATGCAAATTCTCTTGCAAAGCCAGGGGCTAAACATGAGACTTTCTGCATGTAAAGCAAATGCTTTATTGCTCCTCCTATGCCATTTAACTTGGTAAGAAGAATCTGAAAGTGCCTGAATTACAGGTAAAGGGTAGTTTCTTTACTTTTTCAGTAATTGATCCCTCAACAATTCTTTTTTAAAAGCTCAGGAGCAGAAGATTTAGTAACCTTGGAACAAATCAGCCAGCAGAAGTTGTAGTTTATTGACGAATTATAATTAGATCTGTTGTCTTCAAGAGGCTGCTGAACCACACTCCCAGAGGTCCCAATCAACAGAGTTAGTGGTTGAGATATTCTGGGAATCGTCATTCATCATCTGGGCAGACTGAGGTTCCCATCCCTAGAAGGTTATATGTAATTGTATGGGATGCAAGGCATCTCTGCACACAGCTCTGGACGATCTATTGCCATCATCTCTTTCTGAACCAGCCCTGGTGCATCCAGAAAGTACACAAGGTGATTTCTCACTAGGAACACTGCATGTCTATGGGGCTCCTGACAGGCAATTTCCCTAATGATGACACACTTGTCTGTTTCATTCTCAGCCTCTCCCATCTTTCCATAGCAGTTCAGTCACAGTGTTTTGCAGATCTGTAAATGCAGTTAAGAGGAACTATCCTCTGTGGGTTTTGTATCTGCCGTTCTGCCCTTAGGGGGAGGCAGGGATCACCAGTAACATGGACAGAGACAGGACTAACAATGTGGGGAGTGATTGAATAGTGTTATGCTTTCCTATTGCTCATCTGGAGGAGCAATGAAGATGTTATCAACACCACAACAATACCATGATCAACACAAAACGTTCCATCACCATAAGACAGGTATTTCCAATCTGCTATGGAAGTTGAGGGTATGTCAGCCTTATAAGGTAGACCAGACTAAAAACCAGACACAGTGCATACCTAAAGTTATTTTTATTAGAAAGAGTTACCGTAACTAAATGTTGCAAGCCTGGATGTGCTTCCCTTCCCCCTTTTTATATCTTCATTAGAATTAAGAGAGCAGTGGGGCTGACTTTCCCATAAACCACTTTCCCAGCCTGGGCTCAATTTTCCTTTATCTGATTGTTGCCTTGGTAGCAGATCTTCCCTCCATCCTTCAGGGCCATCCTTCTTGACCCACTCCAGGAAGTGAGACAAGAAGCTCAGAGCATCAAAGGGCTGCCCATATTTACCTGGAGCGTAAATGCAAGCAGACCCTCCTGTCAGACAGATCCGACTTGGAAGTCAAGCCCAGATGGGCTGTGAAATGGCCCAACTTCCTGGAGGAGTGACCCTGAGGACAAATAAACCTCCAAGTGCTTCAATGATCCTCTAAAAAAAAAAAAAAAGACCGCAAATGACCAGCTGTCTGCAAGGAATGTAAATCCGTCCATTCTCCACTATCCTCTCAGAACTGAGGAAGCTTCTTGGATGAGAAGCGAAACGTCTTCAACAGAAAAAAAAACAAGAAAGTCCAGTTGCCTCCTGAAAAAGCACCTTTGGGACTTCCTGGCTGACTTAGCCTGGAGAGCGGAGGGTCTTTAGGATTCCAAGAAGGCCGCCCGCCAGCCTCAAGGGGGAATGGGGGTCACCCAAGTGCAACATCCACGCGCGTCCCCGACCGCATCTTCAAAGGCGGCTTCCAAGCCAGCTTCCTTCGCCCTTTCCGGCAGCCGCCTGCCCACAGACACAACCACCCCACGCCTGTATTTGCGGACGTCTGTGCTTGGGTCACAGCTACGTCATACATTCACTCCAACTCAACTCTCCCAGCCACCTCCAGCCGGAGGTGGAGAGGAGGAGGCGAGGGATAACGGAGGAAGGAGGGAGAGGTTTCTCTCCCCCCCCCTTTTCTTAAAAGCTGCTTCCGGTTCTGCTGCTGCCATCTTCTCTCTCTCTCTCTCTCTCTCTCTCTCTCTCTCCCTCTTTTGAAGGCGGGAGGGAGGCTTTTGAGGACTTACAAATGAAATAAAGGCGGGCAGCCGAGGGAGGCGGGGGCAAGGAAGAGGAGGGGAACGGGAGAAGCCCGCGGTGACGCGCCAGCGCTGGGTGCCGCGGGGCCGGCCGTCAGGAGGAAGGAGCGCTTTCGTTCTGGAGCGCCGGATCCTTCTTACGTCGGAGAGGCGCTGGAAGGACTTGCGGGGCGCGAATCAAACTCAAAAGGGGACGGCGTCTGGGCCGCGGGCGGGCGGGCGGGCGTGGACCTCGCGGGCTGAGCTCACTTCTCGCAACCCTTCCAAGTTCCAATCCGTCTGGTTGTCAAGCCGCCTGCCCGTTTCTGGGCTGTGCGTCGGGAAGAGGTCGGGGCAGCGGCGGCGGCGTTCAAAGACATCTCCAACCCGCCCCCGGTGTCCTCGCCGGCAACGTTGTTTTCTGGAGGCGTTTCCCTCGCTTTTCTTCCTTCCCGGGCTCGCTCCGCACAAAGCCAGCGCTTGGGTTCCGCTCTCCCGGCTGCCCCCGCCCTACCGCCTCCCCTCCTCTCCCGCCTGCCTTCCCTTCCTTCTTTTTTTTGGCTTCTTTTCGCGCGATGGGCCAGAGAAGCTCCCGGAACGACCCGCGGGCCGTCGCCTAGAACTCCGGCTGCATTGCCTCTCCTGCCGGCGACTGCGCCTTTCCTGCCTCAGCCGAATCTGCCCCCAATTCATTCTTCTCCGCGGCCGAACCGGACTCGGCAGGAAGAAAGGAGAGGGATACAGAGAGAGAGAGAGAGAGAGAGAGAGAGGCGAAAGGCGGGGAGGGAGAAGCCGCCCTCCAGCTGAGCTCTTGTGTTCCTGCTTCCAGGAGCCTGGAAGAAGAAGGGAAGGTAAGCGACAGCCGGGGAATGGGGAGGACACACGCCGTTTTATCCGGAGGGAGAAAGCGGGGCCGCCGCCTTTCGCTCGGTTGCGGAACGCGCTCGGACCCAAACCGGGCTGCGCCTGACTGAGCGATCTTGGTTAATAGCCTGTTCGGAGAGAAAAGGGACGAGCGAAAGGAAAGAAGATCGGAGGCGAAACTCGAAGCGCCAAGCGGGGGTTTTGTGTGTATGTCTGTGTGTGTGTGTGTGTGCTCCTTGGGTGACTGTCCTCCCGTGTTGAAACGCCTCGTTTCTTTTACGGTAAGCGAGCGAATCTCTCTCACCGGGGGGAGGGGGGGCCATCGACCGCTGAAACCTCAAAAGGCTTTTTGAAAAGGAGGCTGGGGGAAGGAAGGAGGGAGGGGGAAAGCTAGCGTTTTAACCCGTTGGGACCGTTGTTGTCGTTGTTGCTCAGCGCCGGGCTTTTGTCTGGAGGGGTTCCGTCTGAAAGAATGTCGCAGCCATCCGAGAGAATTGCCGGCGGCCGCTCGATCTCAAGTCGGCGGTGACTTTGATTCCGGTCCACTTTCTTTTGTTACGATTCCGGTGTGGAGCGCGGTCCCGCGATAGATCAGGTCCGCTTGGGTCAAGGAGCGATTTGGTCTTACGGAAGGGAGAAAGAAAGAGGGGTGAGGGGAGTTGGTAGCGGCGTCTGAAATAGGAAACGACCATCAAATTCGTCTTGTTCGGGTTTTTTTGTTTGTTTGTTTTTGAAAAGACTTTTCCCGTGGGACTTCGGATTAAAACATTCGTTTTCGCAGGGACTTTGGAGAAGGGGAGCCGTATTGCTCTCTCTCTATTTATGTAGTCCTAGGATCACCTGGGAGCACGCCTTTCTCCCGTGCCACCCCCACCCCTTCTCCCCCGACTTCCTTGTCTCTTAACCTGGTCACGCCTTGAACCGGTAGGTCAGATTAAAATCTGGTGGGAAAGGAGGGAAGGTTGCTTTTAATGCAGCCGTGAACTGGACGAGCGCAGCTTTTGAACTTCTGCTGCTTTGTGTCTGAAGCACGCCGGGGTCTCTCGTTAATTCCGTGCGATGCCGAGACGGTTTCCCTCGCCTTGAGCCACGCAGGTTGGGCAATGGAGCATTGGTCCAAGACTTGGGGGGGGGGGGGGCAGAGGAGGACGAACGGAGTGTGCATAGAAATGGCAAGAATGGAAGGTGGGAGCTCTGTCGTTTCTTTGGCAGCTTCCAGAGAGGAGAGAGAAGCTGGCAGGTCCGGCTTTGCTGGGAAGAGTGCCGACGTTGGATCCCTCTGAATCGTCTCTTGTCAGAGCTTGAGATCTGATTTTCCTGGAGCTTTCTTTGAGGCTTTCATATTGGCTCCTCTTCTCCCTCCCATACTCGCCCCACCACCTTTGGTAGACAAACCTTCAAAGCTTCCTGATCTAAAGTGTGGCTTTGCTTCTCTTTATTAAGCATATGGAGGAGGTTGCCTGTAAATCCTTAACCATATAGAGATGAAACAATACATGAAGTGTTCATACCACTTTATAATGCCTTGGTAAGGCCACACTAACACGCACCACTTGGGGGGGGGGGGCGTCTTTGCACTACTTTACAAGGCTGTTGTAAATACGACTGACATAATATATATATATACTTATTTATAAGATTTTTTAATCTTGCATTTAATACTTTTATAAGTAATACAGAGTACTGAACGTATCTAACACTCCTTCCTCCTCCTATTTTCTCAAATCTTTGCAATGTATTGGATAATCTAAAAAGTAGATTAGTTAAAAATACATGTACACTTACATGAGCGGCTGGTTATTCTTTTTTCTCAAGTTCACTTTTACTGCCTTCAAGAAAAGTTACCTGAGAGAGTTAGGAACACCCTAGGATGACATGATAAGTGAGGTGCAATTGGAGGGAGAACTGTCAAAAAGTTAAAAAGAGGCATACAGTAGAAGCCCTCCATTCATGTAAGCTTGGATCTAAACAAATATTTTCTGTAATAGAGGCTTCCTTGTGTGCTTACATGTACATGTTTAGATGCCAAAAGAAGGCACCTTTTGATGCGTCTTTGGTCTGGTCAAGCTGTGGCTTAGAAAATTATTCTTATAAAACTGGAGAATTCTGTTTAGATATCTGACATGTATCTATGTAAATTTGTGTACGTGCCTTGGAGTCAGTATTGACTCCTGGTGATCATCTGGACTAGTCCCTGAAGTTTTCTTGGCAAGATTTCAGAAGTGGTTTGCCACTGCCTTCTTTCCAGGGCTGAGAGAAAGTGACTGGCTTAAATCTCCAGTTGTCTTCATACCTAAAGCCGTTCTAGGTGGTTCCTCCACAATGGGCTTAGCATCCTCTTGTCTTATATAACAGCCTCCTATCACTAGCCATTGTTTAACTGCTGGAGTTTATGAAAATTATTGTCCATAGGATCTAGAAAGCACCAAATTTGATATTGCATAGTAAATTGCACATTGGCTGAAGTTGGGCATTGGCCTGTCTTGAACTTATGGGTCTTCTATTTCTGATACAAAATCAGCTGTCCCATCCTACATTTAAAAAATGATAATGAAGATGTTCTGAGTTCACATACTATAAATGTCATGTGTTTGATTAAAGAGCGGCACATGTTGGAAAGAGGAAGTTAACCAAAGCTCTAGTATTTTAACTACTGACTTTTAATTTAATCTGTGAACTTGGATTTGCTTTTATAAAACCACTTAGAATAAGACCATTGTAAAAACCCTGATCTGTAAACTAGACAAGGAATAGAAAAAATATCCCCAAAGTATGCAGAGGCAAACCATTTTCATATTATTGCTAATAAAATTAATTGGCAATTGACATGAAAACACCAGGTTTTTACATAAGAGGGACCATCAGACTGATTAAGTGTCATAAATCTCTGTAAAGAATATTAGCGATATTGCATCCCAGGCTGTTTGAAATAAAAGTTTGTTTCAGTAAGCTGACCCAATTTTGCCATCAGCTAATAGAGTCTGATTCACACATATATTCTAATGTCTGATCAGAGCATTGCTTAGCTGCCTATTTCTCCTAATCATTAAGTCAATTGGTTTATTGTGAGATATTATATTTGAGGTGTTTCTAGAACCAACCTAGCTCCAGACAATAGGACAATCCAGCAATAGAACTTGAAATTCTACACTTGAATAGAGTGATACGATGCTAGCTAAGAAAATTCCTCATTTACATGTCACCTCCTCCAAGTTAGAGGAGTTCACTGAGAGTACATAGCACTCTGGAATTGACACTGGATATGTATTAGTTGAAATCATTACATCATGAACATTGTTGGCCACCTTTGTATAAATAATTGTATAAACCTCTTTGAAATCTGGCCACCCAGAGTCATTATTTGAGATGTGCAGTATGTACATTGAATGAATGAATGAAATAATAGCTTGATTGTCATTACATTATTTTCAGATAGATAGATAGATAGATAGATAGATAGATGAAGTATTCCCTTTAGAAATAATTCTGTGCTATTCCTAGTTAGCTCTGGTTTTCCAAGATTCTTGAGAAGAACAAGGGATTGAGAATAATTCATGATTGTTCTAGTTATATTGTAGCTAGTTGCAAAGTTACCAAACAGCTGAAGTTTTTTTCTTGGCTTTAAATCAAGAGTGAAGAAAAGTTTGTCTTGTTCATAATAATTGTATGTTCAGCTATATGTCTAAGTTAGAAATACAGATCCAAAATTCTCTATTCACTATAGTCCCAAAGGTGTTTTTTCAAAAGGAAACCGGACTTTCTTTGTTTTGCTTGAAGATGTTTCACTTCTCATCCAAGAAGGTTCTTCAGAACTAAAGCTTCTTGGATGAGAAGCAAAATGTCCTCAAGCATAACATAGTCCAGTTACCCTTTAAAAAAAGCACATTTGAGACCACCATGACCTGGATGACTGAGAATCTCAATAGAAATTTATTCACAATAGTAATAGTTAAAAATAGAGTGTTGCTAATATTTGCTTTGGAGCATCAAGATTGATTTTAAGCATTGATTTTAATTGGATGCCTCAATTTAGATACACATGAAGAAATGCCTTTCTCTAAAACAAATTGATTTGTTTGTCTATTTGATTTGAACATTTGAATTGAATTCCTGAACCAGCCTTAGGGTCTCTTCCCCAAAAGTCCATAGTAATATGTCAATGAAGATTCTCAGACATCCAGGTAGCACAGTCATGGCAACTGGATTTCTTTTCTTCTTGGTTCAAAATATTTTGCTGCTTATCTAAATAGCTTCTTCAATATAAGCATTTTAATTGTTGTTTATCCACCTATATTCCATTATTATATTTGATTCATTTGTATTATCACCTTTTAAAGTATAAATAACAATAAAATGAAATATATTAAAATATGTCAATGAGAAATTTGCAGGCACATTGAGTGAAATAATAGGTTTTTCCTGCTGTTTTTTTTTTTTGTTCCAGCAGTTGTAATAAGGAATTACCCTCAATTATTCATTATTTGTCATTCAGCCAGTGGTATCTTGAGGTTCCCATATTAAGATATGGGGAGGAGAGAAGATCACTAATTGCTATAGCTTCAAGGATTGGTAGGGTTCTAAAAAGAGATGAAACTATTACCAAATCAACAAGGCAACTGTTAATTTTCCAGATACTTTCTTGGAGCAGTCCATGGAAAAGCTCACTTTCATCTCCGGGGAAGAAACTAGAATTGCATAAGTATAAAAGTTTATCTAAATCAATTTTCACAAATCCTTGCCATTTTCTAGATATGTAACTCCCAGAAATTCCAACCAGCATTCCTTTAAACCAGATTAGCAGGGAAATCTAGGGCAGGGGTCTTGCCATATCTAAAAAATGCCAGATTAGAAAAGTTTGATTTAGAACAGATCCCAAACTGCCTGGAGTTATTTGTTTTTCATTGTTCTCTGTTTCAAATACTTTTGAAGAAATTTAAGCATCATCTTCAGAGAACAGGCCCATCTGATGCCCTAAATTATTGATCTG